AGGCCTAGCAAGTCTTTTATACGAAAGAGCACACAGAAGAAACCGATGTGTTTTCTTAAACACCTTCATTAGCTGAAAGGAGAATAAGTCTATTTGTGGTATAGGCACAGCAGATTCCTGCTCCAGAATACCATGAAGTGTCAGCACCAGTACCTTCCCCACCATTCTCTCTCAAATCATATCTTACATCAAAATGAACAAAACAAATGAGAGAAGGCTTGGGGGAGGAGGGGAGGAGGAGGAGGGAGATACCATTCTGCACCCTTCCTGACTTTGCTTATCTTCCTGGGCATATTGCACAAAGGAAATGGCATTACCAGTGTCTGCTCTTTCAGTTGTCTTTGTGTAGTATGTTCAGCTTTTCTCTTATCCAAAGAGACAACTTTTTGCCTCTGGAATACCCCATGACCAGGGTATTCACAGCCCTCTCATGACTGTGCCTATTACACAAACCTAAGAGATTACTGTATAGTCTGCTGCTGTCCCAAAAGCATTCATAAGCACTTCTGATAACTGTACCTAGACTTACAAAAGAGTGAGGTACTCATAGGAATGAATTTCTAGATCACCATTAATGGTGTGTGGTCACAGAAGGCCACTTGGGCTGCTTCCCAATGAGCTGACAGAGCCACTGACACTCTCCTCATTGCTCCCTAGGGCATCTCAACACCCAGTCCTGCTGGGCCAGCTCTCCTGAGGTGCATCTAGATTACATTCCTCTTTCGAAAGAGGAATGCAAATGAGGGAAATTAAAAATGCAGATGAAGCACTGATGCACAAATCTTGTACTTCATTTGCATAATCTCTTCTGATCGCCTTTTTCGGAGGAGATTTTTTTTTAAAAAGCAGTCTAGATGGGGTTCTTTTGGGAAAAAAACCTTTTTTCGAAAGAACCCTGTAAGCCTCATTTTTTTCCAGGAATAAGTGTTCTTTCAAAACAGGTCCCCCCCCGAAAGAACCCCGTCTAGACTGCTTTTAAAAAAAAATCTCCTCCGAAAAAGGCGATCAGAAGAGATTATGCAAATGAAGTACAAGATTTGTGCATCAGTGCTTCATCTGCATTTTTAATTTCCCTCATTTGCATTCCTCTTTTTAAAGAGGAACGTAGTCTAGACGTACTCCTGAGCCCCCCTAGCCAAGGCACAGAGCTGAAATCACCACCCCCCTGAAGAACAATGCAGAAATTGAGATACCTCAAGTCTGAGAATGCAGTTTTGTGCACAGCTTCTAGGAATGCAATTCCCACATGGGATTAGAACCCCAAAAATCATTCAGGCAAACCTCCAACAATGGAAGGAGGATGTACACATTGATTGCTTCCCCCATTCAGGTAACAATTATTTACACAATGGAAGGAGGATGTACACATTGATTGCTCCCCCTATTCAGGTAACAATTATTTACACCGTGTTTGATAGTAAATAAAAGTGATTTTTCTAAGTAAAAATAATAGGATTTAAATGGTTGTAAGTGAAAATAGAGCAAAGTAAATTACAAATCTAAAAACCAGAAAATGCATAGCTAGTTCTAACACATGAAAGCTTATTGCAAAGTCATCCTAAAACTGTTCTTATTTCAGCTAACCATCCAAGCCAGTGAAGATTTTTTTCCCCCTGGGGTCTCTGGCTGTTTCTTTGGATGCGTACAGCCAGCAAAAGACAAAGAGCCTGAAAACTTTGCATCTTAAATAGCTTTCTTTTTGGTCGGGAATTCTTTGTTTGTACAGTCTCCCCTTCCATGAAAAATCACCTGGTCAGACCTTACTAGATGGTCAGAGATCTTCTTAAGACCGACCTCTGCTTAGACTTAAAGGACAAAGGAGGCTGTTTACCAGCTATTACCCAGACACTGAGGTGTCCCAGCATTGAAAGCATCCTTTCATTTGCACGTTTAAAATCATAAACCATTCTCTAATCCATATCTAACTTTATATACAAGACATACAGATCCAGCAGATTGAGACATTAGAATTGATCGGTTACATGAGGTATCCTGTCCAAAGCATCTTCAAGTTTAGCATATTTGTATCCAAGACCATTTCAAAAAGCGTGGAGGGGAGGGGGAAACTGTCACAATCACTGTGCCTCTGGACCTGTGTCCCCTGCAGAGCCTTCCTAAGCAGCTTCTCCAACTCCTGAAGTGTTGTGAGGAGCAGAATGGATGTAAAACATTTTTTCCTAGATGAATACTGAACTAATATCACAATATGGATTACTAGTGGGCATCATATTGCTGAAGGCATAGTTTTGCCCATTACTCACAACACCAAGGATCAATCTCACTTTGTCATTAAGCACCCAATGTCATTTTTCATGACAAAAGGAGTATTAAACACTGGGGTATTAGGTTTTCTGAGCCCACTATAATTACATAGCACTTTCCTAAGTTCTTTTCAAATTCTACTTGATAGATTATTCATTTGACTGCACCGTTGCAGTGTGCTATTAAACCATAATTGTGTTCCATCCCAAATGATGGGACAGACTGGTGAAGTGATTCTGCAGTATCTTATGTTCTTCTCAAAAAATGCTACCAACCTCAGATACCTAAAAGTTCATAAAATACAGGACTATGTAGCACTTTAAAGATTAACAAGATGGTTTATTAGATGAGCTTTCGTGGGCCAGACCCACTTCCTCAGATCAAATAGTGGAAGAAAATAGTCACAACCATATATACCAAAGGATACAAATAAAAAAAGTTCATAAAGCACCTCAAGACATTTGGATAAGAACTAGGGAAAAAGCTGTTAAATATCTATATAGCTTACAGAGGTTGCTGCCTTATCAGTTTTCTGATGGGGAGGCAGGACCCATCAATTTTAAGTTCTAAGCCAATGAAAACCAGAATTTTTATTTCTTTCAAACTACCTGACAGCATAGCATTACTCTACTGAAAGAGAGTAAAAGGATCTCACTTATTTGGACCTGCAAGAAAGAATATCAAATTAGTTATTTAAAACCTAACACGGAACAAGATACATGCCATTTATCACATGCTCTACAGCTAGAGCAAGCTTTGATAAATACAAGCACTGTTTGCTGGTGCTGCAAAAGCAACAAACAGCAAGAGGGTTCCAAGTTCCTCAGAACCTTTCCTTCTGTCATCACCTACTCTAGTAACCATCCCAAACTCTTTCTGCAGAAACAAAGGGCTCTATAAGGAAAAAGAAACAAGTTGCTCTTCTAAATGCATCCTGAAAAGAATGCTGATATTCTTCAGTGTGAACTGACAATGGTTAGGAACTTTAGGAAAAGAATAGATAAGGCAGAAAATATAATGCCTCTATATAAAATCCAAGATACTCCCACATAGAACCATAGAATACTAGGACTGAAAGGGACCTCAAGAGGTCGAGTCCAGTCCCCTGCCCTCATGGCAGGACCAAATATTGTCTAGACCCATGGTCATCAACAGGTTGATTGCGATCGACTGGTCGCTCGCAAGGCCTCGACCAGTCAATCGTGAGGCATCCTGCCCAGCTCCCCTCCGCCCCTGCCATTTCCTCCCCACCCCCGAGAAGCCCCACTACCTACCTTAAGTGAAAATGGAGGTAGTGTCGGCTTCCCGGGGATGGACAGAATCCCGCTGCTTAGCACCACTAATGGCGATTACGGAAGTGCGCTAGCTGCTCTGCCAAGCGTGCTGAGGGAGAGAGCATTGGCTCCAGAGGAGGAACACAGCGACTTCTCTGCACTGCACAGGAGGGGTGAGTCAACCCTGGGGCAGGTGTGCGTGAGGCTTCCCTGCTCCGGGGTGTGTGTGTGGGGGGGGGAAGGGGTGTCAGCCCCAGAGCTGGCACACGAGGCTT